TTTGCCTCAGGGATTTTAATTTTCCTTTCCCTTAAAATTTCTTTATAGCATGTAACATAATGGGAAAGGGATGCACTCACTGTTGAGCTTCATTCAAAATTTGGATCAATCTTCTCAAAAACTGTCATTGCTATTTCTATATGGTTGATAGCTTCTTCCAAATCCTGGGTTTTCATTTCTTTAATGGCAACAGGACTATCATCAGGAAGGATCTCCTCTTCATGAAACTTCTCTTTCCTCTACTATCAGAAGAAGATCTTCATCTCTTAGACACTCATCATGAGAAAGAATCAATTCTTCCACATTATCAGGCTCCATTTCCAGTTCTAATTCCCTTGCCATATCCACAACATTTACAGTCACTTCATCCACTGGATTCTCAAAGCCTTCAAAATCGTCAATAAGTTCAGGAATAAGATTCTTCCAAACACCTTTGAGTGTAGTTTCTTTAACTTCATTCCATGCATCTCTAATATTTTTAATACCATCCAAAACTGTGAAACCTTTCCAAAAGGTTTTTAATTTATTTTGTTTAGGTCCAGGCATTTTATCATTGTCTAGGAAATTAACAGCCTTAATGAAAGTTCTTCTTAGGTAATAAGATTTAAAGGCTGCAATTACACCTTGGTCCCTCAGCTGTGTTTGCAGGTATAAAAGCAACATTTATCTCCTTGTACATACCATTTAGAGCTGTAGGGTGGGCAGGGGCATTGTCTAAAACAAGTAAACATTAAAAGGAATTTTCTTTTGCAGCTTTGAAGCCAGGCATTGACTTCTCTTCTTTATATGATTACAGAGTGCAAATAGGCCTACAGAGCGAAAAATCATTGATTCTGATGATGTGATAGATGATTTTGTAGGATTGAAGGCAAGGAAATGTAAGATCACATTCACTGAGATGTTACCTGTACTCAAGGTCAAATCGGAACTAGTGTTTCTCAGATATTGCAATGTTTTTCTTTATTTTTTCAACTTTTTTTTTTTTGGCATTTTTGAAGATTAATAAATGTAGGATCTGTTGCTTGTACTTAAAGTGGTATCTGAGTTTATGTTTCATCAGTATTACTACGATTATTTATTTTATCATTAATAAAGTTGAGAAGTATTCTTCTGTTCAGTTCATGGCCCTTAAACATTCTCATTGCTAAACATTGGTTACTGGTTATGCAGTACTGATGTAACTGGAATTTACTCCCCCTCCACCCCCCGCCCTTGGATTTAATGGGGGTGTGTTGCAACCCCTGAATGGGTTGCAATGATTAATATGTATATATATAATTATTACCTTTTCATATAATTTTATATTGCTTGTATTTGCGATAATAGCTAAATCGTAAATGTATTGCTTTATATTATTTGACTTAGCTTCCTTTAGTTAGATAGGATGTAACACATATTATGTGAACAGTTCAAGTCTTGATTGTCTAACTACTGTAATTATCGCTCTTTGCTCGTTTCCCTGCCAGCTTCTTGCTGGGCAGCGACCCACGGAGCTATCACGTGATCGAGGGGGGGGTGTCCTCACCTCGCCTGAAGTATTCAGTCTGGTCTAGACTCTCTTGGTGGTTGGACGTATTCTGACAAGAAGAGCCTAAGTCTACCTTATTGGCCCTTGTTGGAAGATCGTCTCTTGTCTCATTATTGTTAGTTCTGGAGACTGTTCACAGAACATTGTATAGACTTAGTGATTTTCGACGTTGTACTGAGGTTGTGTGTCGCATAGACACTCTAAACAACTCAGGTCCTGAGCTGTAGCTTCTGACCTAATTTGTACTGGTATCTGTGTATTATCACAGTCGGTGATTTTCTTATGCTGAACTTCGATTCAGTAGTATGGGAGTTTTGTGACTTTTGTGGAGGATCTGCTGATGGTCCCTACTTAGTGTCACTTTTGCTTGTTATATTGTTATTGGGCTTAGCATTCTTTTTATTGTTCAAGCAGACTGTTCTGACTGGTCAAGAAGTTAGTTTATTGGAGGACTTTGTCAGTCACTTGTTTAAGTCTAGTCGAGTCGTGAGACATAGTGAACTACTTAGAGCACTTACACACATACACACAAACTTACTTGTATATATTTGTAATATCTTATTAAATGTTAATGTACCAGACGGTACTTAAGAATTATAAATGTGATATGTGCTTTCAGCACAATAATACTGTACACGAGAGAAGTGATTAATATTATTTTGATTACTGTGATTAATTTAATTTAATTTGATATACGCCTAGACAACTTAATAAATTTATTAAATTTTAATTTCTCTAGTTAGCAGCCTACCAGTTGTAATCCTGAAGCACTACTGAATCATACTGAATTCTAATGGATAATTGGACAAGGATACTGACTAATTGTTACGAAAACCCAGTAACAGGCTGGATGCTAGAAGGGCAGTCCTTTCTAGTATTCACTGGAGATCTCTAAGCTTTTAGAATCGCGTTTTTTGTAACAGGGTGACACTAAAGATGCCGCCACAAGTGACACCAAAGATTCCGCCCCGGGTGACACCAACCCTAGTGATGCCTCTGGTGGAAATGATGCTCAATTGTCCATGTTTCCCTACACCTGCTGCCCCTATTCACCTAGCAGTAAGTAGGTATCTGGGTGTAAATCGACCAGTGTAGGTCACATTCTGGGAAACGGCAGTATACTTTAGATAGGACTGGGCTATAAAATGAGCTCAGGCAGGATAACAGCTCTTGGCATCTAAAATTGATGTGTAAAAAAAAAATGGGTTGAGCTATTAGTTCCTGAAATACATTGCATACTAGTGACTTTCTTTTGTGCCTACCAATGTTTTAGTACATGTAAATAACATTATTTTTTACCACATACAGAAATAAAAATTTGCATTTGTATTGTTTGGCACAGACTGACATATGTCTGTAAGGTTGAACCTTATGCAGGTGACATCATGCCTCTGATTCCATAATGTTTTAATTTCAACAGCAAGATGGTGTAGTCTACTGTGTCACAACCTCGTCTTAAGATCAATAAAGAGGACCACTAGTAAGTAAGTAAGTAAGTAAGTAAATTTATTCAGGTATACACAAATACAGTTACATAGAATTATCATACATAGCAGCATATGTGTAGAGAACCTAGGATAACCCAAAAAAGTCAGACAGAGTGACTTATTTCCATTGGGGTCCTTTTACCTTATTATTATAATATAAAGGTTATAATATTTTCTTATTATTCTACAATGAAGATAACATCTTATTATCATACTAAAAAGACTATCTACTACATGAGGGTCATTAAGACTATCTACAATACGAGGGTCATTACTAGGAATAAGGTAAAATTTACACATATTTTAGCTAAAAAATAGAAAATCATTCCCCTCCCTTTCTGTAGCTTCATTCATCAGACACTTTTTGGCAGTCTTCTTGAACTGGTTCATGCTATGACTGGCTTTGACATGTGCGGGCAGTCTGTTCCATTCCTTTATTGCTGTACAATAAAAGGTGTTTGAAGCCTGGCCACTGACTGTGGGTACTACAAAGTTGTGCTCTCTCCCTCTAGTACTATGATTGCTTTGGTTCCCAACCTTGACAAAATTGACAGCAAGATATTCTGGACATTGTTCGTGAGCAATTTTATAAACATGATTTAGCTTCAGTTGTTTTACTCTGTCTTCAACATTCAGCATATCCAACTGCTGTAATTCATCCTGGCCTACATGTTCTTTTGGTCCCAGCCCCAGGATGAATCTTACAATTTTGTTCTGGGTGATTTGCAGTCTATCTTTCAGTTTTTTTGTCAAGGCAGAGTACCATGAAGAGCAAGCGTAATCCATATGGCATTGTATAAGGGCTAGACATAGGGTCCTGCGAGCCTCAGTAGGTAGACACTGTGCTTGTCTATACAGGAACTTCAGTCTGGCATTCGCTTTCTTTACTACACTGTTCCCTATCAATTCTCCTGACATGCATGGGTCAAAGGGGATTCCCAGTTATTTTACTGATGAAACCAAAGTGATGGACTCCCCATTACACTGAACATTAAAATTATTTACCCTTCTCAGTTTATGTTTCGTTCCAAAGAGAATGGCTTCAGTTTTCCCTAGGTGTAATGATAGTTTGTTGTCTACTAACCAGTTGCTGCAGGACTCCAGTTCCAGTGTTAAAACATTAGCAATATCTTGTGGGTCTTTACCTGACACTAACAGAGCACTGTCATCTGCATACAGTAGGAGTTTGCACTTGACACTGATAGGCATATCATTGACATAACATAAGAATAATAAGGGACCCAGAATACTACCTTGGGGAACTCCACATGTTATCGGCAGGGGTTCTGATTCCGTTTTGTTGATTTTGACTATTTGTCTCCTGTTGCTAAGGTAAGACTTAAACCAGTCTACAGAACCTATACCGATAGCTTGAAGTTTCTTACATAATATACTGTGGTTGACAGTATCGAAGGCCTTTTGCAGGTCTAAGGTTACCATACCTATGAGGTTCCCTTTTGACATTTGCGATAGTTTTCTAGTCATAGTTTTCTAGATCTGGCAGTACAGAGTCCAGCATCTCTATGATAACATTATCAGTACCTTTCCTTGGCCTGAAGCCAAAATGGCAAGGGTCAGCAATGTTTGTAGTAATAAATGCATATATAGGATTATATTAAGATATTTTATATTATTATAATCATGGGGGAGCGCTAAACCCGTAGGACTATACAACGAATGTGGGGGGATGGAAAGTATTCGGGCTCAATTCAGGGAACTGGAGCACAGATCCAATTTCCCTAGATCAAGAGCCCCTCACGAGCGTTAAGGAACCTTCCTTGAGGGGATGATATTTTAGATAATAACAAATTAGAAATTGGTCCCTAGTTTCTCAGTTGTTACATCTCATGTCTTATCTAGCCACAGAAAGTGAAAGATGATAATTAACGCAGATAACATTATACAAGATATTATAGTTCCATTAACATATCTCCTCAAGGAAATATTTTCTTTAAATATATTATAATTCAATAAAATAAGCTCACCTGCGTCACATTAGTAGCGACGTCAATGTTGTTGTTGGGGTCTGAGGGCCACTGATAATTACGCTGCATCCACCCCAACTTACCCATGTACGGCCAAGATAAAAAGATAAAGATAAAGATAAAGGTTTTATTTCTTTGCGAAGTTTACAATCTATGATTTTGACTTGTAAAGTACAAAGAAAGCATTATCATGCCGGAGCATTTCGGGCAGACTAAACCTAATGCTTACATACTTAATACTAAAGTTATTGAGAGTAGTAAATTTTTATTATACATAGTTTTTCTTATTACAATAGAGGTAGCTAGTGGTTTACAGTAACTGAGATGAAGTATACAGAAAATTACAGTATTGCAATATAGCACAATTTACAATAATGAAATTGAAACAGTTTTAAGTCTGAAATAATGCTTAAATAAGTGAGCACTCGTAAATTATTTAGGAGTTTTTTTTGAGTTACTGATAGGTGATAACGTATAGTGTTTGGTTAATTTTGGGTGATAGGAGATTTCTAAGTAGAGCCTTAACGAAGAGAATTCAATCGGAAGAGGACCACGCAGGATTACAAAGGGATCTGGACAGGCTGCAGGCCTGGTCCAGAAACTGGTTCCTGGAGTTCAACCCCACTAAGTGCAAAGTCTTGAAGATTGGGGAAGGGAAAAGAAGACCGCAGAAGGAGTACAGTCAAATGGTCCAGGGACTACAAATCTCACTTAAGGAATAGGATCTTGGGGTGAGTATAACACCGAGCACATCTCCTGAGGAGCACATCAACCAAATAACTACTGCAGCATATGGGCGCCTAGCAAACTTAAGAATAGCATTACGACATCTCAATAAGGAATCGTTCAGGACCTTGTACACCATGTACGTCAGGCCTATATTGGAGTATGCAGCACCAGTTTGGAACCCACACCTAGCCAAGCACGTAAAGAAATTCAAGAAAGTGCAAAGGTTTGCATCGAGACTAGTCCCGGAGGTTAAGGGAATGTCCTACGAGTATAGGTTAAGGGAAATCGACCTGATGACACTGGAAGACAGGAGAAATAGGGGAGATATGATAACGACATATAAAATACTGAGAGGAATCGACGTGGTGATAGAGAAAGGATGTTCCACAGATGCGGACACAGCAACAAGGGGTCACAGTTGGAAGCTGAAGACTCAGATGAATCACATGGATGTTAGGAAGTAGTTCTTCAGTCACAGAGTAGTCAGGAAGTGGAACAGTCTGCAAAATGATGTAGTGAAGGCAGGATCCATACAGAGCTTTAAGAAGAGGTATGATAAAGCTCATGGAGCAGGGAGAGTTACTTAGTAGTGACCAGTAAGGAGGAAGGGCCAGGAGCTGTGACTCGACTTCTGCAGCCACAACTAGGTGAGTACACATAAGGTCATAGATTAGGTTAATATCCCAAAAGAATAGTAACAAGTGAGAGACATTCAAAACTAGGGATGCCAAGCCCTTGATGACACTCTTCAGGTCGCTTGTTCTATCTAGGCTGGAATATTGCTGTACACTAACAGCACCTTTCAAGGCAGGTGAAATTGTTGACCTAGAAAATGTACAGAGAACCTTCACAGCGTGCATAACTGCGATAAAACACCTCAATTACTTGGAACGCTTGAAGTTCCTCAACCTGTACTCCCTAGAACGCAGGCGGGAGAGATACATGATTATATACACTTGGAAAATCCTAGAGGGATTAGTACCAAATTTGCACACGAAAATCACTTCCTATGACAACAAAAGACTCTGCAGACGATGCAACATCCCCCCAATGAAAAGCAGGGCGTCACTAGCACGTTAAGAGGCAGCACAATAAATGTCAGGGGTCCAAGACTATTCAACTGCCTCCCAGCATACATAAGGGGATTACCAATAGACCCTTGGTTGTTTTCGAAAGGCGCTGGACAGGCACCTTAAGTCAGTACCTGACCAGCCAGGCTGTGATTCGTATATCGGTTTGCGTGCGGCCAACAATAACAGCCTGGTTGATCAGGCCCTGATCTACCATGAGGCCTGGTCACAGACCGGGCCGCGGGGGAGTTGACTCCCGAAACCCTCTCCGGGTATACTTCAGAGACATAAAAGTAAGATGAGAGAGATGACAGGGTAATTGAGAAGTTACCAGGGTGAGGGAGATGACAGCAGAATGAAGGAGTTGACAGCTGATTTAGGGGGATGAGAGCAAGAATGAAGAAAATGAGAGCAGAAAAATAAGAAATGCTGTCAAAATAGAAATAAAATGCATATTTGGGAACACCCCCGTGAGGTGTTAGTGGGTTAATTTTATTTTCCAACCAAAGAGATCAAGTGAATTTTTTTTGTGTCGTGGTGAATGTTTTCCTCTGTGTTAATATAAAGAAAAAGAGAAGTGAAGACGTGGAGAGGATACTTAGGCAGGGAGACTCGTTTAATTTTTTAATTATTATTTCTGGCTACTCTGTATTTCATAACATAAATAACATCCAATGTCTTTCATTCATCGCTGTTCTACATCTTTACAACTTTCTCTACGGTTGGTTTACCAATATTATTACGCTGTTTTACAGGAGAATAACATCTATTCTGTCTACCAACATTATCTTGCTGTTGTACAGGTGACTAACACTTCTGTTAGTCATACTCATATCTGCACTCTCACGCTGCTATTTCGATAAAAAGTCATGTTGTATAGGCAACGTATGGAATCAAGAAATTCTTGATGATTTTATATTGCAATAGAATTTTGAATAAACAAGATGAAGCATGTGGATCTACATTATTTTGAAGACATCTAATGTGAGAGATGTGAAAAAGCAACAAGCGAGACTTGTCTAATAGTATGCAGAAATGCTTATTAAATCTCTCTCACTCTTCACTTCCTCACCTTCTCATTATTACAGATTAAACCTTCACCAACACACACATCACTTCTCTCACTTCCTTTATATTGACAGAGGATACATTCACCGCAGCATTTAAAACATATCCTCTGAGGAAAGAAAATATAAATAAATCAGTTGGAGAAAACCCAGCAGCTAGGCACTCGTGAGGCGGACTGGAGAAGCAGGAGGGGTAGTTTGAAGACGAGAATGCATCGTTATTAGTTAGTGGAAGTTTTGATTCTTGGGTAGCTTGCAGCAGGCTTGGTCACAGGAGGGGAGGCAGGTGGAAACAACAGACTCAGCTCAGTTGTAGGTATTTAGCGTGGAGCATTTGAGGAAGAATCGTTCTCAAATTTCTTGAAATTGGTTCTGGAGAAGTGTTACAGTTTTGTTTTATTACCAAAAGTAAAACTGAGTGGTTTGATAAACTCCAGAACTTGGGTAAAAGTGAAATGGTGTGGGGTCTCCCAAGCGAATTTAACAGACCCAGCAGAGAGCCCTTTGTACAGTTCTGTGCAGGTCATGGTGCCCTCATTCGATGTGTAGAAAGTCAGATTGTCCCAACTAGGTGAACTGGCGCAGGAGTCGTCAGCATCCTCCTCTTCCTCAGAAAAGTATAGAGGGCGAGTCTTCGATGGTGCTGGCTGATTGGGCATTGCAGTAGTGGTGGAAGAAGTCGATGGTGGCCTCTCATTGGTGGGATTTGGAGAAGTCTCGTCACGTGAAGGCAGTGGTGGTAGTGGAGCTGCTTGAGAGGGCTTACTGATTGAAAACAATGACATTATCTGAGATGGTCTTGGGTATGGCTTGAAGAAGGTGGAAAGCAGGGAAAGCAAACTCTGGGACGTTGCTCAACCTGAAGAGATCATCATTGGTGGCGTTGAAGGTTCCAGGGAGAGCATATTCTGCACATGGGGATACACCATACAGTAGTAAATATTGGTTGGGTCACAGTCAGTTATGAAGGTGGTGGTGGAGGGTTGAGTAGCCTGGAGAAGTTTAGTGGTATCAGCTGTAATTTGGTGATAGCAGCGTAAGTGAAGATCTGGAAGAGGATTTCTGTGCTGTTTCTCGTTTTTTTTTTTCAATATTCACGCCATGTAGGACATTTTCCAGCAAGAGTGTGGTGATTGTTATTGCAATTCAGGCAAGTTGGTGTTGGTGGAGTGGTAGTGGAGCAGGTCTTGAAATCGTGACCCTCACAACCACAGGTCGTGCAGAACTTCTTGTCCTTTATGGGGCAGTCTTTAGTGCTGTGCATATAAGAACAGAAATTTCAGCAGCGTGGGATGGTGGTACCTTTCTGCTTCAATATAACTGGGGCTTATGAAGTAATAATAGATGGCCAGACCCTCAGCCACAGTATGGGCAGCCATGGTCACATCAGTAAAAGTGATTTTTAAATGGATGAAGCAATAGGGATTTTGATAATGCGCCCCACTCTAGCCCAGGAGTTCAGGTATTCATTGGAGGTCTGAGGTCATTGGCTTTTCAGCTTCAACATCTTCGTTGCATATGACAATGAAGGCGTCCTGGAGCGTCAGAATAGTGATAAACTTCACTTGCAAACCGCCCCTAACGGCAGCTGCAAGTGCAAGTTTTGAAGAGTCGTTCACAGTTCCACTGCAAGGTTTAATCTTAACACGATTAGAGTAGCTCATCGTGAAAGATCAAAAACGATGACAATGAAGGTAAAGGTTCCCCTCCACAACGGGGATCGTAGGGACCTGTGAAGACGAGAGTCAGAGCTTCTGCGACTGCGGAGCACTCCAGCACCCGTCCTATACTCTCCCAGAGAAACTACAACACCTGTCCTATACTCTCCCAGAGTACTAACAACACCCGTCCTATACTCTCCCAGAGTACTCCAACACCCGTTTTGAACTCTACCAGAGTACTCCAACCACCCGTCCTGTAATAAATAACAAAAAGGCACAATACCGTGACTGGAACGATACACAAATAACCCGCACATAAAAGAGAGAAGCTTACGACGACGTTTCGGTCCGACTTGGACCATTGACAAAGTCAATGGTCCAAGTCGGACCGAAACGTTGTCGTAAGCTTCTCTCTTTTATGTGCGGGTTATTTGTGTACCCGTCCTGTATTCTCTCAGAACAAAATCATCAGTAATTTCTGTACTTTATTTCAAATTCATCAAACATTTCAATCTTAATTCATTGTCAGTTTCAATTTTTAACCTAAGTATTGCATTATTCATTTCTTTCATACGTCCTACATATTTTCATCCTTCTTACTCTCAATTCTTCATATTCTTCTCGTTTA